CTTTCTCGCAGTAAGCTGCGTCTCTGGGGTGGGCATGGGGATGATGCTTCCTGTTGGTGCTGTAGGACCTGCGAGGCTCTTGGTTTGGGCTGTCACCAGTGTCATTTGGTTGGTCTAGAACTGCAATTTCGTAAGGTACGAAGATATTCCGATTGCTGGGGAAGAGCCCAGATTTACATAAACCGTTAGAAGCAACTTCAGCTGTAGCAGCTTTTACGTAAGCTCTGCCAAAGAGCTCACCGATCTGGTAGACGGTGACCACGCCCAGGAAAGCACATTGTGCTAACGAAATTCGAACCGGCTGATTTCCGCGTGGGAATCAGGAGTGATGCCCACTGATTTGAGAGTTTCTGATTTATTTTATGTTTTCGTAACAAATTTCACATGTCAGTGTTTCGGTATTTATCACTATCAAACAGAAACACAATAGTAGATTCCGCTCGGACACCACGTTGCTGTTTTCTATTCCTAGCACAATTTCCAGTTTTAAATGTTTTACCACGCAATTTTAAGGTCTACTGAACAATCTGAATGTTGTGATTTGGAACGTTAAAATGTAATGTTAGTTCCCTTAAGCTGCGAGTAGAGAGCTGTTTCATATCAGGCTTAGCGCTGTAAATAGGGTATTAAACCTGTGTGCAGTGTCTGCACTTCGTAGTTAATTCTGAAGCGCCATTATTTTTATACAATGCGAACAGAACTATAAATTCTTATCGCAAATGATTCTACTCTTGAGAATAATGTTTACGGAGGGAAACTTCTTTGTTAGTTGATATTCCACGAAGACGTCGCTGCGTATAAAATGCTGTTCTGCAGTTGCGGTATATTTCCTATCGAACCAACCTATTTCTTGTCTGAACCAAAATTCAAGGTTATGTAGCTCTTCTCAATAGTGTTGAAGAGTTGCCGTGGAGACGTTATGATCGATCGTCAATTGTCTCTTTCTCGTACATTGGGCTGAGAAGCGGAGATAGTCGAACACAGCCGAATAGTTCGTGTCTGCTGGTAACCAAACGGGTAGCGGCCATGTTGTTTTGTTTTTAGCACGGGCCATGGCCACTGCACCGGAATGGCAGCAAAGTCAGTCAGTCGTTGGCAGCAGTGGCGGGCGGAGGTGAGAGTGGGCGTGAAGCGAGTGTTCAACGCTGAGGGTGAAACAAGCCGCTAGAAGACTGCGTGTGAATAATGTTCAATAGCGCTAGTATTTGTGTACCAGTACTTTGGCATAATTACCACTGACACTGCAATATCACCACCCTGTAAATGGGTGGACGTGTTTTACGTGCAAAGTGTGAACACGGTGGTAGGATATAAGTGAGTTTTGGTTTTATTCTCGTGGTTTTAAACTGAAAATTAAATTTTAGCAAAGAAATTTTTTTGTCCTACTGGAATCTGAAGAGGAGCAGATATTTACTTCCACACTCACCGACGTGTGGTGTAGTGGGGTAGAAGAAACCCCTACAGTCGGTACAGTAACTGCAAGAACATCATATTCATTGACTTCCTCCTGCAACTGGTTGGAGGCTGTAGAAAAATATCTACTGGTCATCTACCTGTTGGCATACATGCTGGGGGTTCTGAAAAGACGTTGGAAGCCCAAGAGGTAAGAAAGCGTTGTAATCACGAAATTTGATTAAGGTTACAAGGTGTAATTTTCCAGACGAAACCAAAATAATACACAGAACTGGAGTAAAGGTTTAGGAACTGTAAGGTACAGGGTTAGCTTTACACTCCCCTGATGGCTACGTGTTAATGCTGTCAGATGTACTGTTTTTTTAGCATGTGTGATAGTTGTAACTATGTGACCGGTGCATATTCGGTAGAAAATATCTATTGAGCCTGCCCAGCTTTGTTTTAGCGCCCCATCGCGTATACCTAATTAAACAGGAATATGTCTTTATGGCCCTGTGCTTAATGAAACAGTGTCATTGGGGGGGTGCTTAATTAGAACAGAGACTTTTCCTTTACCTTTACCATTATTATCCACGATTGTGATCGAAGTATATAAGCTGTGAAATACGTCTCTCTATAATCTTGTAACAATTATGTTGTATTAAAGTTACATAGAAGACGAAATTGTTTGTACTAGTATTTACATTTTGTTAAATCGTTGTCTGTTTCTTTATGAGCTCTTCGTAGCTCAGTTATGCATTTTCGTGTGTAGAGTAAGTACTGAACAGACGACATGTCAATATAATCTTTGTTGGCGCCATCTCTGTTTGTGACCACTGGAAGTGTCGCAGACGAATCTCAGAGTGGAACTAGAGGACAACAGAATTTCTTCGTGTATCTTACATGCCAGTATTATTTTATGTAGGCTGTTCCACTTTCCACGCAATCCTATCTTCTTAACTTGCCCTGGACTGACAATGAGGCACAATTTCTCTTTTGTCGACATCAGCAAATTATTCTCAGCACCCTAGTATTGAGGTTTTCAGGGAGGTGAAGATGTCCGTAGTGGCGTTCTGGGTTACGGACTAGTTATACCGACGTTTCGGAGGAACGAACTGTATCCATATTCAGGGATTAAGACACGGTGTTACAGCGCAGGAGACCACCATGGCACACTCTTTTATATAGCGATTACTTCTATTGAATTAAATAGTTTCATAAAGTAAAACTTATTCGAGGATTATATGATATATAACGGGGAGCTACGTACTTTGAACAGGTCACTTAGGATTTTTGAGGCAGTGAATTAAAGACTATTTCGGATGGAGATGCAAAAATACGCGAACAGAAGTCTTATGTGGAAGCCTGATGGAAAGAGACAAATTGAAAGACCGAAAAGGAGATGAGAGGATAATAAAGTTAGATCTTACGAAAATAGAATATGAGGATAGCAAGTGGATGGCAGTAACTTAGGATCGTGTCAAATGGTGGCTTTGGACTTTCGAGGTCTACATTTAGAGCGTCCTACATACTAGGGCGGTGTTGATAAAGCAGTGACACGTGTATTGTAAACGACGTGAGAGATTATTTTGGTCAGAAATCTACGAAGTGGCGAGGAAGTTTTCAGTGATTATTTCTTGCGTCTTTTTACAAATTGTTATAAAAGAATATATATTATATGTAATACAAATAAGTCTGTATTATGTTCTCACGTTTTATTTTATAGTAAACAGATGGAGGTTCAATTTCGAACGATGGTTAGATCTTATCAGTAATACGATCTATTTTTAAATGTGTATTACCTTGTGCTTAGAGCACTTAAAGTGACGGCAGGGCGTGAAAAATTGGAAAGTGGCCCACTTCAGCGCATTTCTTAACACATTGAAAACAGTAAAGTGATTTTAGGATATTGTGTCCGATTTAATTATTACTTTATATCTTTGTAGTTTAAACGCGTCATGTTTGTGCTTAATTCAGTAATATATTTATTTATTTCCGTATGGATCTTAAATTTCTATATTTTATAAATATTTTCTATTTTCCAAACTCTTTTTCATATAAATAATTAATAATTCGAATGTCAATTAATTGTTTCACAGACTACAGAACGACTGATCTAAAAAATACAAAACAAGACGAACAACAAAAAGAAACAAGCTACAAAAATGAAAACTACAAAACAAACATATCAATGATAGTTGCATTAATAAATATACATTAGTTTTAAAGACGAAAATAACCTGAAGATGATGCGGTTGCATTGAAACATGTTGTGAAATAAAATAATGAGCGCTAAAATTGTAACATCGTAATAGCGATGATAAGCGCCAAATTTTAAAGTTTAGCTTTAATAACACCAATTTTAACAACTAAGTTTGTGTATTGACGGAAATAAATAAATATATTACTTTATATCTTGTTTGAAATCAATATGTTCGACCAGTACGAATATTTAATATGGATATTTTGAAATAAGTAAATTTTCTCTCCACACTCCAAATAGTTTCGTAAAATTTAGGAGTCGACACATTTGGCCACCGCTGTACAGAATACGGAACTATCGATACTTATGAAGTGTAACGAGATTGCTAAGTGACTAATATTATACATAAAACCTGCGAAATAATTTTAGTTTGAAATGAACACGTGGAAAATCCAATGTAATTGTAACTGGTTGACGGTTACCTTCATCTAATATCATTTTATCACTTGCATGGGTGATACGCCAAATATAAGCGTCAAGACATGTAGTCCGTGGTCCTTGTTTGAGAACTAAAATAAACACCAGGACAGACGGAGCGACTTGAGACCGATATAACCATGACATTATTGTTATTTATTCCAGTCAGCTGTATGAGGCCTGCAAAGAGCAGTGGGTTGAGTGATTATCAAGGCAATAGGATTTCTGTAACTCGTTTGACCTTGAGTGTATCAGTGGTTACGTAGCGGGCAGCCAAGAAGGCTGACTTGTATTTTAATTTGAAACGTAATTTGGACTCATTCATTTAGCAATGGAATGCTATAATGTTGCCCAGGTACAATTGAGTGGTAATAAGAAATGTTAAGTAATTGAATGTAAATGAGGTAACTCTTTGTAAAACGTGAGGGAAATGTAAGCACAATTGAGATTGTGTTCATGTCTGTTTAGTTCAGCCATCGAAAACTACTGAAATGAATTCAGTTAAATTTGGCCCCACCCTAAAAGTTGACGAGTTGATTTAATTTTGATCTCTTGTGATAAAATATAACACATTAAAATTGAATTTTAATGATGCTTTTAAAATGGCTTATTCTTCAAAATGGTTGAAGTGTAACTGTCATTAAGATCTACAACTTCATAATTGAACATTTTTCGATACAATTGCTATATCACTACAGGTCGGATTACATTTTGCTGTTGATTAGATGGAAACCGATTACCTCTCGTATTAATAACGTGTTAAAATAGGTGTGTTCGCTGTCGCTTGGGATTTGATTAGGTCGAACCGGATTAGAATGGAAGTCAGAAGCAGTAATGAACCTTGTTTCATGTTAGGAATATGCTTCAATCACTCGTAAGTACAAAAAGGCTGTTGTGTACGTCTACTTCTGTGGACAGTCCTGTATAAAATACCCTACGAGGTACTTTGAAGACAGAACTTTTACTTCTGTGCAGGAAACCTTCATAAAATCATAAAATTGCCCTTCTCTGTGTCAGTAAAAGTGGGTGGGTGTCTTTGTATTGTGGCCCTTTGTGGTATACTGCTCCTGGCGCCGGTTTAATAGGACAGCACAATGAATGTTGTTCCTGTAGAATTGGTAACGTGACATCAACTTCACGTTAAAAATTTTTCTTTTCGAAAATGCTCCTGTCTTAGATACTTTTTCGGTAATCATGTGAAACGTCTCCCAAAATGTTCGATAGTGGGCATTCTTTTAGAAAGTGTTAGTTATATCGATACACTGGCTTCGTATCGACCTGGAAAATTTCTTCCAGGTGTATTACATTAATTTTTTATGTCGACTGCACAGAGGTCTGTGATTTTTCGTGTTTTTTTTACCCCGATTTGCAGCACATAGACCAGGCTTTGAATCCCGAATAGCTTTCCTGTTTTGCTGGCGTTGGGTCTCCACACCATTTCATTCTTTAAGAGAACTTGTTGGATGACGAAGGTTCGCCTCTGCGTCGGTTTTCTTTCAGGTATTTGCTTCCAATGTAAACACTTTTCTGTTAGCTTTACCTGGGCCAAGTGTAGGAACCTGTAGTCAAGAAGAATTTTGTCTTACTATAGGAACATTTTCTCATCATCTCAGCCAACTCTTTAACGCTTTTTTTTAAAAAAAAACTGATACTATTACTTTGTATGCCACGGTGGTCTAGCGGTCAGAACTCTGGCCTTGTAATTCTGGGGTCTCGGGTTCGATTCCCGACGGTGCCAGAATTTATAACTTGTGTTGGGCAAGGCCGTGGTCTAGGCAACACGGAGGTTTCCTCCGGGGGCTTCCCCGGTTTCTCCGTGGCATCCCAACAATTACTCCATTCACACACAGAAGAAGGCAATGGCAAACCACTTCTGGATCATCTGCCAAGAACGCATATGAACAAGTCCCAGTCCGAGAAAAGGATGGAAGGATCCTGTTCATATGGACCTGTCGTCAGACAGAACACTAAATAAATAAAAACTATTTATTTCCGAATGATATATTTTTTCACCAAATGTAATTAGTAATAATTTATGTGTCTTACAGACAGGCACCGTATTTAATTCAAAATTACGATATCTGATAAATTCGGTTTCGAATTGAATTTGACTGTTTACCTTCATACCGTCCTGAGGCCTGGGCAGTATAGGTTTATCTTCACCTCCCTTGTATGTTGTTATTATTATTGTTGTATAAGTATGTGCTATTTGTCTGTCATTCGCTCCCCGTTGTTGGCAAACACACTAATAAATGAATTGAATTGAATTATATCTATTCACCATTTTACAGGGTATTTACTTCTATGTACATGAGACAAACATTTCCCCTGAAGTAAATAGTGCATCTATTTCTGAAATACTTTTTGTTTTTTAACAAGTGTTACATTCTGTAAACAGATTTCGCATGGGGCATTATTATGTATTTTACGAGCGTCTTTCGAGTAATGTATGTTGTTCCTAGAATGGCGGTTTTCTGAAGTTCCTTAATGTCGTGTTCGCCCGGGATGTTGGCCAAATATTATTATTCATT